TATGAAAAAGTCTGAAAATAAGCAATTTTTTCACTATCCAATCACATCGATTGATAAAATCATCGTACGATTATACCGAAGAGTTCGAGACTATTAAGTCGCAATTATTACTTCGACAATATCTCGGCGTAGGCAATCATCGATAATTTTCTAGATTCGCATTTATAACATCGCTAGACATTTTTAGACATTGTTGTTATTGACATTGTTAGACATTTATGAATCTCCGTTAAATAATGTACAATGTTTATGCACATTGAATATAAAAATATAAAAATATTATTAACAATAAACTTATTATCTTTGTTATTATATAAAGGATCTCAATTGTGTTATTAATTGTACCTCCATAAACATACTAAATGCATTTGAAAATTAGACTTTGTATATAAAATGTGTCTTAATGAATTTATTTAATGTTTTTAAGATAATTATAATACTTCATACTGTTTTGAATGTAAATTCATGAAGACTTTTTTAAATTAATTTCGTTGTTTATTTTATTCGTATTTATTTATTATGTAGTCGTGAAACATAATAAATAGGATCTCTGTGCCCTCTCCGTCCCTTCATCAACCGTTCATTTATTGCGTATCTGAGCGCAAAGGCATCGTATAATCCTCACTCCCGTTCATGCGCACAACCTCCCAGTGTTAATTTGCACCTGCCACACTCTTTATACTTACTCTTTATACTTTATCGGCCTCCCCCTGTCGTCATCCCCGGCGTTGCATTGGCCTCAGGGACTACGATAACTATCTTGAATATCCGCATAAGGACAAAATGGCCCGCCGTGCGCTAATTCTCTGGCTGTACGAAAATTAGTTGGAACCCTGGAGCGTCGCTGCTACGTATCAGATTCGATCTAAGGCAATAGATTCTACGCAAAAGTGCACTTTACATTAGAACTTTTTCCGTGCCCGCGACGCCGTAGGTAACCTTTGATATTACATGTCGCAGTGTATTAATTATAGGAATTTTTTATCCAAGTATTAATTACTTTTTCCTTTGATAACGCATACAATTGCTCGCATTGTATAAATATACATACGCGAGTGAGCAATGATGTATGCGCAATGATGCATGCGCATGTGCATACTAATAGATCATTGAGAATAGGATATGATCGATAGGATTATATAGGATATTATTAGATAGGAGATTAAATTGCAATATCTCACGATGTAAAGTATTAATTTTAATGATGTATTTGATAATAAATAAATTATTATACAAAATAATAAGATATAATAGGTTTCATTTTTCGTGTAATTTAATTGTAAATCATTTAATAAAAGAAAAATGGTTAATTATAAACCTAAAGTAGTATAAAATTTCATTACGCCTGATTGTATTATTTTAATAACCTTAAAGGCAAATTATTATATTTTTTTATTTATATTTTAACGATTAATATATTCATATAATCGTAGAAAATTATAACAAAAATATTATTGTTGCATTAAATGATCGAAAGTGTTTTTTAGATATTTATTTTAAATATTTTAATGTTACGATATTTATAATTGAATAAAAATTCACTGCCATTCAGTGTAAAAATTTGTTTTCTATACAACCAGTATTCTATTGTTTTTTCATCAATGGTGAGCCGATAAATTCGGCTTTAGTAACATTATAACGTCGTGTTCAAAATTATTCATAATTCTTTTTTAATTGAGAGATTAAAAAATGTAAAGCGATCTCAAAAATTTTAACACGAGAGATAGAAAATATTGCACTAAAAATTCTTACCGAATAAGGCTAAGAAAATTTTTATTCTCGCAGGTTATTGTCACTTTGCAACTCAATATAATTGTCTACGTTCCCTTTAATTAAATAATTCATTTTATTCGGTTTTGTCGTTAAAATAGATCAAATATGCTTTGCGACCTCTAATTGTAAATTCGCACCCGACGAAATTACGTAAATTGATTTACCTTTGAAATACTACAACTTCACAATGGCAAATTTTTTTTTTTTAAAGAAATATTAATACGAGAGTAATATTTTTTATATCATTGAAGATAAATTGTCTAATGTTATTTCTCATGTATGTTCATAGTTTTAAATAAATAGCTCTTGTACCGTAATCGCGACAAAAGAAAAAAAAATGACTATTAGTCAATATTTTATTTCATTTTTTAAATTTAGTTTTCAAGTTATCGAATACTTTGTAGCAAAATTTATCATGGAAACGAAAGTTCTTGTACTGAAAATTTCACAGTTACCTTCAACATTCACAATAATTTGTATTTATTATTTTTTTTTTTTTATTTATTTATTTTTGTTAGTTATATAGCCTATTTTGTATATTTTATTTTGAACGTTTTACATAACTTGAAATAAATATGTTTTGGAAAAGATAAAAATAAAAAAATACAGATACATTAGCAAGCAGAAGTAATTAATATAAAATTAAAATTAAACAAATTATTGTCTCAATTAAGCAAATGATTGTTTTAATAATTAGTTTGTATTTTAAACGCGAATAAAAATACAAAAATTATAATACAACATATACTATCTATACTATCTATACTAATTATTTACTACACTTATGACAAACATTCTAATCCATAATAACGGATATTAAAAAATTACATAATAAACACGAAGGAAAATACGTAGACCCGACCAATAACTTTACATTGTAGATAAATATTTCTTCGAACGAACAAACCAACTCACCATTGCCTACAGAAATGCTATAATACTACGTCCATTTTCCAAAAGGCAAATATGCGTCGGTGTTATGTACTCTCTTTTCGTGTTTATCGCTGAAAAATGCCTGTTGCGATAGTTAACGCTAAGTTTCATGTTGTAGAAACACGACAACGACAAGGCGACATGCAAATTTGAACGAGTTGGTGCCTGATGATGAAATAGTTCTGTCAAAAGCAATCTGTTTTCCATCGGCCAATTGATCCATTTATAAATTGATGGAGTTATTGTAAATTCCCTTCGGACTACGCCTGTTAAAGCTTCCTACACACAATAAGTTTAAATTTGTTCGATTTACATTTAAAAATTATAAGAAATTGAAGCAAGTACGTGAGTTGCCTAAAAATATAAATTGACTTTAATATTTATTTATACACATCAATGCAACACTAAAATCAATTTCTACTTATATTGTTTGTTTATAGATTCAAATTACTTTCTTACTATTAACGATAAATTAAGAAAAGGTAAAATTCAATTCTTTTCAAAAATATAGATTTTGAAAAGTTTAATCATTTCTTAAATATCTAAAAACACGTATATATACTATTAAAATTGATAAGCTTTTGTAATTGTTATTTCATAGCGAAACATTAATTATATTAAATCTATTTCGCGTCTATTTCATAGTTAAGAATAAAAAAATGGACAATCATAGTTATCTTAGTTCTTCCTGTAATATATCAAATATTGATGATTTCCTAAAATTACTATATTATTATCTTTCATTATAATTCTAAGTAAGGTATAACATATAAATTTTATGTATTTTATTACAAATTTATATATTATTTATATATTTAAAATATAACAACCAATTTGTTGTTTGTGTTGTACATATTAATTGAATGATAAATAGATAAACTAATAATTAATTATTGAATGTCAAAAATATATTATATATATTAATAGTGAAACATTAATATATACATATTATTTACCGACAACGTAAAGAGCTACAAACATATCTTATTTCCATAAAACATAATTTTTCTATTAACTGACGTGTTGTAATCTGAAAATCACGACGTAACAAAACTGATTGCATCAATCAATATAATGTTCCTTCAGCTTATTTATATTTATTAAAATAACAATATATAACCGCTATAGCGATATTTAAAATGTACACTCTTCATTATTTATTATTGCCTAAACCTAACCTCATCTTATCTGAATTTTATTTAAAATAATTCTCAATAAATTCGCCCTGTTCTATTCATAGCGTATATAATTAGTATATAATTTACAAAAATATTCAAACATTTAATTGAGCCTTGTAAAAATAGATTTGTATTTACAATAATTATTTATAAGGTTGATATTCTATTATATTGCCAATCATATCCACTTTTGAAGCTGAAAAATTTAATTTCGAAACGAGGTGCAGCAATATGACTTCATTCGTATTATGACAAACGAGTTTTTAACGGCAGATGTTATAAATAATGTGTACAGTTTTCAAGTTATAAATTATACAATATTATTAGCCACTAAATAAATCAAATAACATCCGACTTTATAAACATGTGTATCTATTTTCTCCCAAGAGTTCAATTTTCTTATTAATTTCCATCTTCGCCTTACATCTGAACAAATTAAAAATAGTATAAAAATAATTTTCGTGACCGTAAATAATTGACAGTCATGATAGATAAATTTTCAAACAAAACAATGTAACTAAATGTATTTTAAGTAATAATCTATTTTCACGAAAAGAATCCGAGCGCATAAAATATAGATATTTCAAAAGCCAATATTTTATGTCATTTTGTTTATATATATATATATATATATATATATATATATATTTGGGACGTACGCACATTTATTATCTGCATTTTTTCTTTGATAATTGTATACATTTTAAGTTATTCTAAGTAATCAATGCTATCTGCTAAATTATAATAAAATTTAATAATCAAATTTGATTCGTTATAGTCATTTACAATCAAATATTAATATTTATTTTAAGAATATTAAAAAATATCAACAAGTATTTCTAAACAATTATATCAATATTTTAGTTACCTTGTTTATTAAAGCTAATTAAAGAAAATTATTTAAAATTGTCTAAATTAAGCAATTATCAGATAGAATAAACTGTGCCAATTAAAAAAAAATTTTACAAAAGAAACTCATCATTATTTAAGCATAATTTCAATAAAAATGAAATAAATGTAATAAAAATTTGAAAAATTAACGATTATGTAATTAGGTAAATTGATATGTACATTACATTTTCTTCTAATTACCTTTCTGTTTCCATTTTAGAAAAAAAACGCACTATAGAAATTCGCAAGATGCATCACTAACACATCATCACAATAATCGACAACCAAGGTGAGAAATTTCAAAATTTCGAACATAGCTCTATGAATTTAATCAAATTTGTTAGTTCAAACTTTTCTATAATACATTTGACATAGTGAAAGAAAATTTTTTTAAGGACTGTAATTTTACAATTAATAATAATTTTAGTATTAATACATTAATTATTTTATTAATACTAATGATAAACTTAAATTGAAAATATTCTTTTTAAAAAATAACAGAGAAGCAATTTATTAACAAAGCATTATAAATAAATTGAAAAAATTGTAATAAACCTTTGGAATAATATCGACTTGATTAATTACAACACTCGATAGATTTTAGTTGAAAATCATATTAATTAATATAAAGTGAAATATTTACATTCTCGCTAATATTTTGCATGATTAACGAATCCAATAAATCTTTGCCTTCTTTAAATTCAAGTTTTGTATAATTTTATAAAAATTGATCAAAAGTGATGGTTAATATATGATTTTCCGATTAATATTAAAATTTCGTAAAATATACAGTCATAAGAAGGATTATTTAATGTTGTTAGTTATTTAATGTTTTCGTTAGTTGTTTCATTATTTATTAATATTATTTTCTACTGAAAATATATCTAACCTGAATAGGTGATAATTCTGTAGAATATATTTCTTCAAACTACTTGAAATCTTTTAAAGATAACTGTTTACAGAGAATTTTGAAACATCTTATTGAATACATACAAATCAATAAAAAAATTAATTCAAATAATTAATGTATAAATAATTATTAATATCGATTAATAGACAAAATTTCTTGCTGCTTAAATAATATTGATGGTTAAGTCCACATTTTCTAAAAAATAGTAATTTTATGATTCAAATATTTTACAATGAAAAATTTTCACAATTAAATAAGATAAACGATAGAAAAATTTCAGTCTCATTGCGCGTAAATGTGGCGCTTTTTTAGGTACATTTTTTTTTAATCTCGCTATAGTGAAAATTTAAAAAATAACATTCTTATTTTTTTAATGATAAACTGTATTCAATTAATAAAATATTATTTTCGTTGTTAACATTTAGTATCACATTCATGAATTATCATAATCATCATGATAATCAAAATGATAATAAAAAATAATTTTTTACTCAATATTTTAAAAGGTAATTATTATAAGTGTCGATTAAATCACATGATAATAAGAATGAATTGTAGAGATTGATTTTTTAATTAATAAGTGTAAATAAAGAAATAAATGTAAAATAAATAAAAGTAATCTATTGTAAATTGTCTATGTTATAGAAAAATTTTTACGATTTATAAATCTTAAATAAATTTATCGCTACTAACTATTGATATCGAGAGAATAGTTGATAATATTCAAATTCAATACAATTTAACATTATATTGTTGTAATTCGAAATTATCGCGAGATATTAGTTATTGATACGAAGCTATAGAATAATTCGTGTCATGGAATTTTGAACTGACATTACCAAATCTAATGTTCAAGCAATCGTTCGCGTCATGTATAAACTCGATAATAAATAAAAGGCCGAGAAAATCGATTGGCAATCCATCAGAATGGCCGATGGTAGGCCTCGTAATAGCGATAAAGAGTCCGAGTAATCCAGGCGATTAGTCAATGCTTTGCACGAGTGTCTCGTTGAAGACCGTATTCCGGACTAACATAATCGATGCATGTGATTACGAATGAATAAGCAGCCGATCGATCATTATTACCCTTCCTTTCCCACAACACAACCATTATTATACCATTATAATACATTGAAAGACTAACAATAGCAAACTCTGGTTTACAGACTGACCTACACGGATCTAATGTCCGAATTCTTCTGTTGTCGTCGCCAGATGCAGGTCACGCCATTCAATTGCCCCTGCAATAAACGTGAGTGAGACACTATCTGTTTATGCATATTGCAGAAGGAATTTCATTCATTCGCGTCTTTCACGTACATGCAGGCTCGATTGGAAGGAATTTTATATTTGTTAGTTTTGCGGTAAATCACAAGTCTGTCGTTTGATCATTTAATTAGAAAAAGAAAATGTTTTCCTAAATGAATTCCTGCTCATTTATACAGATCGTTAATTAGTACCATGTACAAATGAAATATTCATTTACGCAAATACCGAGCCAACTACACAGTCGCTTAAATGCGTATATGTGCGCTTATACAAAAACCTATGGAATACGTAAGGAATAATAGGGAAAAGTACTTTTATATAAGTAATAAAACTACGTAGATCGCGAGATCTTATCAATATTAAAATCAAATCACACCCTTTTCTCTCACAACTGAATATACTGTCGTATTTTCAGACTTGTGCACGCTGCCATGCCAAAACGGGGGAGTTTGCTGGTCGTCGGACAAATGTGCCTGTCCCAAAGGATTCGCCGGCGATTACTGCCAGATAGGTGAGGTGGACAATTGGAATCTGGTTTTAATTAAATTACGAGCTCTGTACACTGAAAATTCCGTATTCCAAGCAAGACAAACTCCACCGAATATTCTCTCACTGTGTCTGTTTGCCCGCCTGTATGTCTGTCTATCCATCTATCCATCCATCTCTCAAACACACACACACACACTCCCTTACTCTATCTATCTATCTATCTTTCTCTCATAAAAGTGAAGCTTATGATTAATTTTTCACTGGCAATAAATCAACGAACTCAATACGAAAACTTAATAAACTCTTTTATCGATACAATATTGGTTCAAATTACGAAACTCGCGCGTATTAGAGGTGGAACGTCAGTAATATCGTTTTGCAAATATCCAGAGAATTAAGATCCATAGAATGAATGAGATGTAAAAGGCATTATAAAATTATAATCTATTAAATTTCTCACTTATAGTATAAAATTATTTTTGCGGAGAATATCGTATCTCTTTTAAATAATGTTATTACAGATTAAATTAAATTTATATTCGTAAAAATTGAAAAGTACGATTTCTATGTCGATTGAATATTTTCCATAATACAAAAAATATAACTATTTCATTTTATCCTATGTTATATGAATAATAATTACTATTAATTCCATATTGGATAATTTATTTGACTATTAGCATACACTCGTTTATTTCATATCATTTTTAAATTTAATTCATTTAGTTCACAGTGACGAGTATTCTTCAAAATTTATCACATGTACAGATAAAATATATCAATTGCATAGAATATAAGCAAAGCCTTGTACAATAGCATGATTAATCTATTAATCGTTCACTAAGTGATTTCTTTAAAGCAAAGGTAAACTAGGCCATTAATCTCCATTATTAATGAAACAAGCTTTCATAAGTACTTCTAATTTATTAAATATTATCTCTCGAAAATCACTGCACAATTAAAAGATTAGCTAACGAGTTTCTGAATGGCTATATCAAGTCCTATTAAAGTTACCACCAAGAATACTCTAAATACCGATCAATATATACTATTTTTCACTACCTATACAATATTTTGATAATTAATTCAGACTCTAGACGAAGATGCCGTATAACTATCGCGCTCAACTGTTAACTAAATTATCCATGCACCTCTCTACGAACTTTGCGTGTAGCTTATAGCTGTTCTTGATCATCGTAAACATTAAAATCTTTATTGCCTAGGTCTTCCGGCGTTTCTAATTTAATATGCCATCATTCGGCTGCCTCGTCAAAGACCAAAAGACGATAAGGGATGAGATCGAAAGCACAAGAAAGCGATTAGTGATCAATTGATACCAAAGCAATATCTATGATCAATTTCATTATTATCTTGAAATTAATTATATATATATATATATATATAAATTTGGTTATTTATATATAAGACGCGTATCCGATGAGGAAGATTACCGTCAAGAGATATCTAGCGCGAATTAGTTGTGGTTGATATATGACCTGATCTTCAGCTTAGCTTAATACATCGAGGAAAATATAATTTATAATAGATACATGGCACAGTTAATAATAAAAATAATTATTGAAATCTGCATATTATATTGAAATTACGACAAAAGTGAAGAATGAAATTAATTGACAAATTCTTTGAAAATTTCTATCTATCACAACATTAATAAAATATCTTTAATTCTATAATGTTAAGAAAACTAATTTGTTTATTATCGATATTATGAAACAAAACAAGTAAATGATAATATATAATTCGGTTTATCATATTTATCAATGTATATATTATAAAAGAAAATTTCAATATTTCTTTAATTGCCTACTCGAAAAAGTTCCACTTTATCGTAGAAACATGAAATGATCATGTAGTTAAGATTTTCTTTTACTTTCCTCGATTTTACACATGTGCCTCCACCAATTAATATATCTAATGTCATAATATTTTGCCATTAATCGACCAGTTCTAAATATTAATAATTTGTCAAAGTTATATTACTTTATTTCAAATAAATATTTCCCTATCTCGTAGTTATAGTCTCTTGCTCATAATTTGTGTTACGTATTACAAATTTTTATTTTTGATTATTATATATATTCATATGCCAATTCTTTATTCCCATTTATAAACCATTGCCAAATTTATTCATTCGATAGCATTTTAAATAAATAAATATAACAATATATAAATACAATGATTGCATGACATCTACAATATAATTATTATTGCCGAAATTTGTCCATTTACTTATAAATATTAAGAAAAGCATTACTTAAAATACATAAAGATTAAAAGTAAATGGTTTTATACTACTTTATGTAATATATCATTTAAAACTATCCAAGGCTAGAATTCAATGTTCAAATTGGAATTTCAAGATAAGAACAACATGCACTCAAATGCACAAGTTCACTCACAAACTTGATTTAGGTACCTTTTAATTACTTACACGATTTCGTGCAATTAAGTTGGCTATTAAGATAGATCACCACCGTGTGTATCCGAATACAAATTCCAATGGATGATAAATTTGTTAATTTGATAACATCGCCTTATATATATATATATATATATATATTAATTACTAATACACTAATTCTGATAGGTCCATATTTATTTCTTCATGCAATAACGAAGAATTAAAATAATTTAAAATTCCAAACTATAATTATCTCTAAAAAAAATCTGTTCTCAAACTGAATTAATTATATCTGATATTAAATTCTAGGAAAAGAATGAATTTACATTGTAGACATAGCATTTTACTGAATTTATATTACAATATAAAATATTGATTTTAAGTCTTTTCATTGATGCACTTAACCTAAATAATTAATTTAACTTCAATAATTTGATGATTGTGTATTTGTATCAATATAAACAATCAAATGTTTATTAAAATTTTATTATATGGTATTTTATAGTGAAGTGTTTCTTTTAATTAAAAATAATGATAGATGAAAATTTATAATTGTAGAATTTCTCGATGTTTACTCGATTATAAGTATAACAATTTTACGAAATCTAAAATATTACATAATTGATATAAAATACTCTAAAACTATCTCTTTAAAGTTACGAAAATATGAAAAACATCGTTAGAATCTATATAATGAATAGGTATAATTATTGGCAATAGAAGAAAAAAAAAGTAGAATACAATTAGATTTGTCTTGACAGTTACATATTAAGAAAGTAAAGCAATAATAAAATAGAAAGATACTAAAATCAAATGAATAATATTGAAGGAAATAACCTTTTGAAATTTCAACAGATATACTGAAAAATATCAATTTTAGAATCATAATATTAAAAATATAACAAAATCTTAGTATACTAAACTTATAATTATATAAGTTATACATAAATATTTGAATAAACGTAAGTTGGACATACAGTTTGATTTACTACAAATAATAAACGAACGAATAAGTAAAATCATTTAAAGCAACTTGTTCAATTTATAATGTCTTTGAACTAAAAGTAATTGAAAATGCATACGAATAAAATGCAATCGATTCTTTACAAATAACACCGTTAAATCCTTGGTAAAGTGCAAAATATCCACAGTAGTATTATCTCCGTTCATTCAGTATATCTCATCAAGTTCATAGCTTTTTTCTTTTCAGAATGTCAGCTTAACAGTCTAGTAGCAATCACTCGAAGAACGTAAATTTAACTCCCGAGCGTGCCACACTAATTATCTACTCTAAATCATCAGCTTACATCGTAACACCTCCTGTCTCCGATGTAATTTAATTGATCGTCACAAATCTAACCAATGCTGTGGATGATCAAAATACTCGCAACCATCGCAATCGTTTTTCTTCGTCTATCGATTCGTATAATGGGCGATTTACTTCTAACATTTCCTCTCTCCAGCATACTTGGGAATTTTTCTTGTTTTAATGCGTGAAATATGCACTCGCGCGTTTCTACCGTTTTAAGTAACCGAAAACTTCGTAGATTCTAAAATAGCATCGAATATTGCAATCTAAATCCACACCTTGCATGCATCTATTATTAATGATGATTATTGTTGTTATTATTATTTTCTGAAATTGGTATTATTTTTTAAAATTCATTGGGTATTTTATGAAAATGTATATACATGCAAATCCTTTAGTTGAATGAAGTCATTGAAATGCCAAAAGATGATTTTCTGAACAATACGGTATTTTAAAATTTTAAACAAATTTTCATATGTATGCAATACAATATAATAATGTTCGTTGGAGAAAAAAAATTAAATGATTAGTTAAACTAATGAATTAAAGAATAACTTGATTTTTATTGATAAAAAGCTTTGTAAATAAAATAATAATTAATAAAAAGCATCTTTCCTTTATTACAAAATGTTCCATAAATTATATTTCAAATAATGAAGAATATAGTTAAATTTAAATAGTTTTAATACGAAAGTTTTTTTATATTAAATTAAAATTAAAATTTCAATGTCGAAAAAATTTTTATATATTCATAATATATGTCCTTAAAGAATTGTATCAATGTGTTTATTGTATAGATGTGGACGAATGTGTAACGGAAAAACCATGTGACCAAATATGCAGAAATATAGTTGGTAGCTACGAATGTTACTGTAGAAGTGGATATGAATTACAGGCAAATCGTCAATCTTGCCGAAAAAATGGTATCTATAAACTTAAAATCGATCATATCAATAACTGCTTGTTATAATCAATAATTGATAATAAAACTTTACTTTTCTCATGAATAAAAGTAAGAAAGATTTTTTCGAATATTACTAGTGAATGTCATTACGATGAAGATAAACTGATAGATAAATTTAACAAATTCTGAATTGTAATATTTATGAAGTACATAATGTACATAATAGGAATTATGAAATGATATTTCATTTAAATTCTCACTTTCAATATCTTAATTTAAATAGATGATACTTGAAATAAATAAATAAAACTATTTTAATCGCTTTTATCCAATAGACAGTGATGGTACGGCATTTGAAGCAAAAGATTTAGAAGAGGACTTTGAGGAGTCGACATCATCGAGCACAAGACGATCGATATTACGTGGTTCGTTTTATATATACAATATTATAAATAAACATTTGATATTTAAATATATCAGGACAAATATGCATTCCACATTGTCCAGTAATAGTAATCGCCTTCATTTCACTTTAATGCTGCATTAATATTTGAATTTTTCTATTACCGCAAGGAGAATATTAAATAAAATAGATATTACTTCTTTTTCTATTTCATTAGACACGGAGAACGAGGTCGACGACAGAGAAGAGGACAACAAGTACAAGGAGCTACTTCAAAGACTTATCAAATTGGAAAAGGTATTTATTTATATAATGCTTTAAAAATTCATTATTTTCATGCTATTAATGCAACAGTTGTATGTAATACATATGAATATACAGATATACTTGATTAACGATTTCATTATATATATTTTTATCAGCAACTTGCAAAAGGAAAAAATCGAGAAATTGAAACAAATGAAATCTCCTCGAGAATTGCTTCAGCCATCGATAGTATCAATGAAATAAGACGTAGTATTCAAAATATGGTAACAATAAACGAAAATATTAATAAATTCGTAGTGTGCATTTTAGTTTTATTTTTTATTTATTTATTTTTCATTTTCAGCAATTGATGCAGCAAGAAATCTATGAGTTACGGAACAAAGTAAAATTATATGAATATGAAACGAGGAAGATTCAACAGTTAACCAGCAGAGTAGTTGATCTTGAAATAAGATTAATGTTACATTGTCGATCGAATGTATTTAAATAGCGACAGTACTATATATTAACAAACTTGTAATAAATTGCAATTGCGATAATATATAATTATCCCTTCAATATTAGTAACTATAATTTTTTTTACAAAAAAAGATCCGAATTCTAGTATGTTTCAATACATAGATGAGTTACTACAGAAGTATTAAACGCATTTACAAATAATGACATAGTCACTGCCATATTGCATTTCTTCTTCTATATTATACAAAAACTAGATTATTTTTATATTCCTGATACTACGTTTTTTGTATGAATAAGATTTGTAATAAAATGTTGAATAAAATTGATCCTTATCATGATTTAATAAGTATAAAATTTACAATTGTAAATTAGAACTATCTTAGAACTATCTTTTCCTTAAATAAGATTATGCTTTTGTCCTTTGTTTCTTTTTGTCTTTACGTGTCAATCGTTTGTCTTTCTTTAAGGTACTTTTTTTCGTTTTAGCACGACCTTTTTTATGTTTTAAAATTTTTCTACGATTCATCCATACAGGATAATTCCCATACTGATCAAGCAAAGTCTTTTTATTATAAATTCTAGCAGTACCATCATCCATCTTATTATCTTCTGTATTGCTTGTTTCGTTTGCATTATTTTTACTTTCTTTAATCGATTTGGAGTCAGTAACTAAAATAAATTTATTAACATTTAGTAAATAAATTTAGGTTTTAGATTAAGATATCTTTTCACATGTGAAATACCGTAATGATTTCAATATCAAATGAACTAAAAAAAATATCTACATTATAATAGGTCTTGATATACCAGAGATAATAAAAATACCAAAGAACATTATAAATATAAATGAATCATGAGTATATAATTTTATTTAAAAAATCATGAGATAAAAATAAAAGAAAAATTTATATATATATGTAAATATATATATATATATATATATATTACAATATAATATTTACGATTAAAAGGTAAATTTAAGTAATAAACTAATAATATTAAGTTTATGGATACACAACTACAGACTTTAAACTTTTACAACTTTAAAGTTCTAATACTTGAAAAATACAAAAAATTATAGATATATAATATAAAATGAATTAAATCATCTTTTAATTATCAAATGGATATGTGAACATATATAATAGTAGCCACTGGACAAGAAACATCAAATCTTAAAATTATTAATATAATTTACCTGTAACTATGTCTTTTAGTTCTTTCATTTCTGTGTCTACAGGTGCATTTTCATCAATTCCAAGTGTTTTTTTTAGCCTGGCTAATTCTTTTGCTCCATAACGCACTCTTTTGATAGCCCTGCATTTCCTTCGCCATTTACTTCTCAAAGATTTTGCCATAGTAAATTATTTCTATCACAAATACAAATATGAATTGTTAAAATAAAATGTTGAATTTGCAGTCTTCGCTATATTTAATTTCACAAATAAGCTCTTTAAGTATCGTAAACATAACCTTATTCTAAATAATCATTAAATATCCATAAATGTACGCACAGTTATATCATATTAATAAAATATACATAGCATTTCCTTTATATCCTTGATATATATTAAAAATTAGTAAACTAATGATTTTAATTTAAAACAATTATATATAACTAATTTAAAATCTCATACCTATCCCACGTGCACAATTTGCTTACGAACAACCAAGAATTTTACTTAACAGTTCCGCAATTTAACGTTAAACATTTCATGGCGCCAAGCATCTAATCGGAATAGTCACATTCTACATTATCGACTAATGGCTAGACTGACCAGCAGATACAGTAGTTACGTTATGAATGTAATATGTGAGAGCTTTGACAGTTAACCGTCGTTTCCAATTACGCTGTTCTTTTAGACAATAATAATAATATTATGAAAATATTTTGAACTATAATTCATATACATTATTTTATCATTAAAAATTGATAATAATTACTAATGCAGACTCTATAACTACCATATTTATAATAAATATAATTTACAAATAATTTAATGTATATTTAACAATCATTGAATATTGGTAAATTGAAAGTTATGTAAATGTAAATGTTCGTATTTGATGAATATTATCTTCTGTGAAATAAACACATCCACTTCCTTTATCTTTTTTTATTTCATAAATGTTTTGATAAGTTTATATATTATTATATTCCTTTCTGGTAATTTTGAAAAAGTTGAAATTTAATTTGCAATTTTTATTCTGCTTTTCTTATGATTTTTATCGATTCATTTCCGCGATAAAAATAGCTGCATTAAATTAAATGCAAACGTTAAT